CTACTAAATACAGCGGCCAGGGTCAAGATAAAGTGCTCCAATCCGCGACGAACATTGGTATCTCCAGTAATAATAATAATTCCAAGTCCAAGTTCAAGTCATCTTCCTGTTTCGAGGCGTACAAAATGGAGTAGAGGGGTCAAAGTGTGCCCGGCTAAAGCGTTGTCTCTTATATGGCCTAAGCGTAGCTTCTTATCCCCTCCAAGTGTCCACCGACGCGTGTGGTAATACAACGCGTCTGAAATTATGTAGCAGAACGAGATGTACATAGGACTTCAAACGGCGTACATTGATTCAAACAGGAAACTCGAGTTTCAGAGAGTAAGGAATACTTGAATGACTGAAGCCACCCCGGAAACTCATACGACTCGGCCTGTGGATACTTGAACGACCGAGGCTGGAAAGATAGAGGCGGGAAGCCTCTACAACTTTAATTAAGCATTGAATATAAATATGGATAGCTGGTTAACGAGTGTAGTATAGTTGCTCCGTCCTCGTTCCTTTAAACATAACAAGAGAAACGGGGCGACGATGGGTCATATCCCACGCAGTGCCAACAGGTAAGAAGATTATCGGGATCGCTGGACAAAGGTCATGAGTCGGGCAAGTTAAACAGCGCCGAGGATGCACATACTATTTCTTCTTGATCTGCAGTAGACGAGGGTAGTGCGTGCCCCAGAACGACACCTCATGATTCGGCTCGTGGACGTCCGCCTCGTTCTATGAAGTATCAGTAAGGAACCTAACGCAAACCCCGCCGCACCGCGCCGCCTACCTGGTAAGCGGCATCTGGGGTGATGGCCCGCAGGTAACTTATGGCATTGGCAATGCCGGTATACGCCGCCTTCTCGTCGGCAACTGGCACCGCTGCGTCCCAGCCGCCCTCGGCGACCGTATGCCAGATGGCGGTACGCCACGCCTCCGTGACGCTCGTGCTGCCGGTATCCGGCACATTGAACGGCGTCGTCGCGATGAGCGTTAGGTCAAACGTGACGTGTGCGAGCGTCTGCATCAACGCGTCGACCAATGCGCTGCGCGACACCGTGCTGTTGAAATTCGTCGCAGGAATCAGCCGGGTGCCGATTACGGCGTTCTCGCCTACGGGCTGGGCGCGTCGTCAGCGTCGAGGTGGGAAAGGAACAAGGGATCGAGACGTACGGCGCCCGAATTGGAGATGAAGTTTTCGAAGAACGCGCCATAGCTCGGCAATTCGATGCTGAGAATCTGCACCCCGGGGTCGCTTGGTGCCAGAGCCGTCACATAGTCGAACAGCGGCTTCATAGTCGCCGCCGACTCTGTGCTGTTGAGCTTGGGAGTTACGTAGAGAGCCTGAAACGGCTCGATGTAGCCGCCGAAACCTAAATAAGGGATTAAATTTGGCTAATCTGGGACCTTGGTTATTTTTATATGATCCGTACCTTGTTCAGCCCATCTGACCGAGTTCTCTACCACAACCTCGTAAAAGCCACGTGTCGCATTGGTGTTGGTGCGCGAGAATCTCGCAAAGGCAACCTGCAGAGTCATCTTTGGTGAAGCGAGTGTCGTGCTCTCAAGAACCACGCCAAAAGTTCCGCCGCCGCCTAGCGCCGTTCAGTCCAAATAGGAGATCGAACTAGGGACGCGCATTTACCTCCACGAAGAGCCCAGAAGAGATCGCTATTCTGACATTCGTTTGCTGTCAGAAACGCTCCGGTCGGTGTCACGATCTTGAACTGAAGCTGAAATAAAATCGATGAGCGAGGGAGAATGATGCTGTCACCGAAGAGAGCCTACGACACGATCTACACCGAGCCCAAGGGTGTTGGACAGGGCACCGTGACCACCTCCCTAGACGCAAATGTCAGCGAAATGTCCTGTTCCTTTTCCCTTCTCATCTCACCATGACCCATCCACCTGACGCTCCGACAGAGGTCTCAGCGCCTGACCAAAAACTTAGTTTGAAATGGATTGTACCTCGAAAAGCGCGTACCAGTCACGACGGTAATGTTATTTGCTTCGGCGAATGCAACGATATTGCTGATAATGGATCCAGCCCCCATAGTGAGACCTGGCTTGGCATGCGAAGCGGGGCATCCGGCAGGGACAAATGACGGGTTGTACGAAAGCTGAAAGAGGAACGCATAAACATCCCAACACCAAACAAACTGGCAACAAAAACGTACCGACTGCAGATTGTGGGTCCACAATGCTAGCGATCCAGGGGCACTGCTGCGGCCCTTGTAGTCGTGCTTAAATCCAGTTAATATTGAGGATAAATTTAGCAAGAAACTTCTCTCACTCCGGTGTTCTTTACAACAATCGGTACACCCGTTTTCTTGGAAAATTCAAACGCCTTTTGGACATCCGAAGCATCTCGGACATCAATCTAGCGGAAAGACATCGGACAAAAGCGAACCAGATTCGTCGAACACTGACATAATACGGCGATACGCTCCCTTGCTGGCATACTTTGGGTGGGTTCGACGGTGCGGGGTCGCTGGCATTTTGTCCTGAAATGAGACAAGTTTGCGCAGTTGCTTGGCACGATCCCCATTGCACATTCATGTACGCGCCAAATTGTTCAACCAGGAAGACTATTTTTTGTTTGGCATCAATGCCCGCAAAGAAGACCTCGGAGACGCACGGCTATTGGTCCATCCTTGTCGGACGGCAACACATTCAGTAGCGTCGGTATTGCCTGCGACTGAAGGGTCGACGAGCGTGAAGCATCTGGTTGTTGATCAATAACAACGAGGATTTCGGAGATCGTTGCGGCGTACGGTCTGGCGATGGGGATTCCGACATGAAGTTTGCCGCCTACAGAGGAGTTGAGGGCGTTCCATTGTGTTGGGGTAACATCGCGTAGGCCCGGTGCATGCCCCAAAGAAACAGTGGCCCAAAAAAGAAGGGAGGTGAAGGACGCGACGAACATGGAGTTCGGGTCCTCGTCGACGGCGTGGCTAGGAAGAAATAATGCCCGCCGAATTCGACACCCCATTTAAATATACTATTCAGACATGAGAAAGATCGCCAATGGGCCATCAGCCCCGGCTTGCCGCAAAGAGCAACGCCGCAGCTGAAGTAGGTGGTTTCATGGCAGCATAAGCCCCTGGCTAGCTGAGATTACGGTTTGCTGTAAGTGGTTCCTGGTTCAAGCGCTTGAACTTGAAACCATTCAAGCATCTTCAATTCCAAGGGTGCAAAAGGGGTGAGTAAACGGTCGGCTATGTCGGCCAAGTCGCTTGCCAATTCAGGACAGCCGAGCACGTGTTCCACTTCCAAGTGAATTGAACTCAAACTTTTATTTCTATCGTCATTTTTGGCTCCTACATAATTCTTCCGCGAGGAGCGGCGTGGTCGTATTTCTATTTTAATCAACAGTCTAAGTTAGAGGGCCGAGATGCCGAGAGTCGAAATATGAATAGTCTCTTGAGCTTGTTCAATTCCCAATTTCCCATCCTTACTGGAATTTCCTGAGGTAAATGACTAAATCGTCTCCAAACTCTGCACGGGCCTGCCTTATGATTCTACTACCTCTTGGCCAAAAATTCTCCCTGGTTTGAACCCGGTGTCTTCAGGTGATAAGTTATACCGTGACCAGGCCATTTATAAAATCAAATTACTAGGAATTGGGAGCAGACGTCGCCTTCAGTTCGTCTTCTCAACTTGAAGTTCGAGTTCTGGTCTCAAACCAAGCACTATGCCGGAGCCGCGGAGCGGGATCTTGGCGTTTCCTGTTTCGGCACCCGATCGTGATCGACATTGTTTGATGGGTTCTGCCAAGGTTCTGCGGGTCGGTTCCAATCCGGTGCCAAAGGTTCCGAAGCATCAATGTGTTTCACCACATATGTGGTAAGTAAGCATGTTGGTTGGAAACTAATTTATGAATTCCAGGATTCCCGAATCGCGCTCGCCGTCAACTTGAATGTTGCGGCTGTTAAACTTGGTCTGAACCCACTGGAACAAAATCCTCGCTGACGGTACTGGTGACCTGGACAACAAACTACCCGCTGCCGCAGAGTCTGACTAACCATAACCGCAGCCAAAACTCTTTTTCAGCGTGCCCTCTCGCAACCTAGTCCCTCATAGACAGACGCGACAACAATTTTGGTGATCGTGCCTCGCATGTTGTACTCGCAACCCCACCATCGGTATCTTGCATGTTTGAATTGCAGGAGGCGTAAAAAGTCAAAATGCTAGACTCTGGCGATCAAGATTCTTCCCAGGTTCGACAAATATACAGTGAAATGCTACGGAGAAACTGCCTCGCTCGTTGTGCAAGCACTGCAAAGGAAAATCTTACGTGCGGTTCCAACGACGACAAAGAAATATCGTTTTCGCGAAGATGGGTGGAGCCTCTTGATCTTGAATCGTATATGCGGGAAGCTTGGGCATTTTTCCGCAACCTTCACAATGTTCACTGGATATGATGCCGGAGCCGCTGGCATATCAGACGGCGGGATAATTCCGTTCCAGCAATCGGAGTACTCCTGGGCGGCTCTTCAACTGGTTAAAAAATCTCCGAAAATCGATTTCCGCCTTCCGCGACCTTTCCATATCCTGCAACCAATGCACCGCATATTCATTACGGTTCCTTTCCCGGGCCTGCCAAGACTCTGTATCCTTGGACGCTGCCACCAGATGAGTAATATTTCGTGGAATTAATAAAGACGCTGAAGTTCCGGCGTGCAGTTACGACAGTTGCATTTGCACCACCTCCCAATGTGCGTGCGGGTCTGGAAAACCCAGTGGTATGTAGCATATGCTACACTTCCAAGCTTACACCGATACGCGATCATCTCAGACATCGTACTAACAAAACACAATTTCTCGGCCGAAAACCTTTGCGTTTTTCATGCGAACAATGTGGAACCTCCAAGGAGGAGATTACACCAGACATCTTGTGCACTCGCTGGACTAGCTCAGCTTTCCCTCTGGTCGATGGTCAAAAAGACCCGACTCCATACTCAACACAATAAAAAGGCGAATTTTCAACCACCTCCACGGCGACAAAAAAGCCATTCCGGTACGGGGAATCGAACCCCGATCTACCGCGCAAGTTCGTTTCACCCATAAGGCGAATCGTCATCCATCGCAGCAATGTTGCCGTTGCACCATACCGGAATTATTTGGCACCTTTCAGATTGAGGCTATTCAAACCCACTTTTCAAGCTGTTTTTCTTGGTCGCGGCAGCAATTGAGGCGGGTGAGCTTCGGGGATGCCCAGACCAATCAGGCGCCAGGCTTGTTCATTTGTGAGATTCCAGCATAGCATTGATATCGAGCTAACTCCCTGCTGCTTATCGTACTTTGTCGGCCTCAAGGCTACTCATTGTCAAGCTACCTGGACTGTCTCGTGCCAAAGTAGCTGCTCAAAATTAAATGCCAAGCTTGCTAGTCTCGTAGAGTCGCAATACCAGTTCTTTACTGACATCCCAATTTGGGAACCCTGTCATACGTACGACAGTAGGACCCCGGCGTTTTCCAAATGCCGGTTGTCGCAGCCACTGCGCAGGACCCCGGGGAGCAGCGGCTCTTGGGCCCGTTCTTTCAATGGAAGGTAAGCTGCTAAGTACTAGTAGAGGTAAGTCCAATAAGTCAGACTGGGTGTCGCTCGGCGCTGCCCCCGCCAGTGTGGTTTCGGAAGCTCGTGACATGGTTTCTTTGGATATGTGAATCGCTGAAACATATATCAGTTGGCAAATGATTTCACGAATGTTGAACGGAACCACAGGCTGTATCATGGTGAATTTTCTTAGCGGGACAGCGGCGAAATATACCTGCCGGTAGTATCAGAAAAATAACCCCTTCACTATCAAGTTCACGAAGCCAGGTTTCATTGTTGATCAAAGGCCGCAGCCGTACTTATGTACGTGCTATAAATTTCCGCGGTTCGATGCTTAAGATTCTTCCGTTTGTAAAGTGGTACCAGGGTTGAACTGGACTTGAAACCCATCTTAAGACGGGGTTCCTCAGGGATCATAAACAAGTTGGAAGAGTGGGGGCTAGACACAGCCGGTTGCAACCGGTTGCAACAGGGTGGTGTTGCGTCGCTCTGATGGAGATTCCAAACATAAAAAGGATACAAAACATACTTACAGACGAAGCCGTATGTGGAATATAATATGTAGTAAGTAGTAATATGAGGGGAGTATCTTTAAGACTGGCTTTTCCTGCGCCCGCATACACAGTGGGGGGTGGAGCAATTGCAACTACCAGTGCTGTACGTCGGCAGAATGGTGTCCGGACTAACGCCTGACTCTTGTGGGGGCAGCGTCCAAGGGTACATAGTCTTGGCAGGTCCCGGAAATGGACCATAATGAACATGGGGTGCACTGGTTGCAGGATGCGAAGGAGCGGCAACAGGCGGGAGATAATTTCCCGGGATGCTTCGACCGCTTGAATTGAAGCCCGAGTGGGAGGAATATCCCGGCTGCGGGAACGGGGCCATCTGGCCGTCCGGTGGGCTCGCCTGTTGGGCGTGATATCCTGCGTACATACTGGGCGCCGGAGGCAAAGTGGGTGCCTGAGGTTGTTGCGGTAATATGCCCCTACTTCGCGCATACGATTCAGGACCAAGAGGCTCCACCCATCTTGGGACAGGCGGTGACATCTCGTCGGCGTTGGAGACCGCAACATATTCGCACGTCAGTTTCTCTTTCGCACATCGCTTGCACGGCGAGAGGGGCTGCTTCTCTCCTGTAATGCACTATATATTTTTGTGAACCTGCGAGAAACTCAGCTGCCGGAATCGGGACACTGACTTTGACTTTTCGTCTTCTGCAATTAGTGCATGCAATGCGGTTTCTATGATGTGGAGGCAGGGTTGTGGCAGGAAGCGATGAAGACGAGTTATGGCTGCGGCTGTAGTTCGGAAACATACTGGGCACGGCTGTTGAGCTGAATTCTCCTGTATGAGCTGAATTCTGCCATATGAACCTTGCATGACTTTATATGCTGGAATCTGAATTACCGTAACATTGGTCTCCCGACCTGGCAAAAAACACACCTTCCGCCCGACGCTTACTGGTATAAAGCATCATACGATGTCCGACGTCGGTTGCGTTGTCACAGCCTTAAATAAACCCAACCTCAGTGAACCGAGATAAAAACGTACCATAAATCCAAAAACGTCACGAAACACCGATTTTGTTTTCGAAAAATGTCCTACTACCGAAACGCAGGCACTAGCACGTTAGTAGATACATCTTTGGTCGGCAAAAATGTAGTCCCTTCCGAAGTTCGAGGGTAATAAACGTATACCGATTTAGCGGGATATTGCGAGATGACGAAACTTTGAAGTTTGATTAGCTTTGGTGGATTACCATAATTTGCTTTAGACGCGGTATGACAACAGGAACGGCACCGGACTGTGGAGACTGGGCGTTGAAAACTGAATTAACGGATCGCTGATTGCTTGAAATGGAAAATGGCGGTGCGGTTGCTCGTACACAACTTGTTGAACTGGATCTCAGCGGATGACTCAATCGGGCTGCTATGAGCAGTGGAGACGAGTACATACAGCTACCCCCTGATTACACATTGAATGAATGAGTTGACACGAAGTGGTCACCAGGAGTTTGTCGGTCGTTTCACCACTCGCCTCGGACTAGTAACATGTAAAATATAAGCGGGTATATTTTCGCGGTAGAAAAAGAGATCTACGGACATTCTCGCAATCCCCGCCTTTGGGAATCAATTAAAAAACCAGACGGTTTGCCCAAGGGGAGTGCTGCGGGTTCGGAATGGATTGATTTCACGCGGTCGTCGTTGACACCGATCATATGTTGAAGATTGTAACCTCCTGCCATGCTATTAGGCTTGAGGTATGAAACTTCGAGTCAGCTAGATTGAATACAATACATGCGGCAAAGAGCTGCGGTCACTGCGTTCCGACCCCCACTGGACAGACCTCCGTCCCCCCTCGTCCAGCTGTGGCTACATCTGTCTACCCCCTGCCAAACTCTGTCTATGGGGGTAGACAGAGGATTGTGGACACATGTCTGTCCCCGCTCGTCCAGCTGTGGCTATATGTGTCTATGTCATGTAGACACAGTCCGGCTTGCTGTGGCTATGTCTGTCTACGCCCGTAGACGTATCTTGCCGCCGCCAATACCCGTCAAATGAGAATTTTTTAAAAAAAGAAAGTTTATCGGTCTGCCTCTGGCTACCTCTGTCGGCCCTCTGTCCAGGTTGGTCTATATCGGTCAACTCAGATAGACAGATGTAACTGCTCAGTTACTGAGGTAGACGTACCATGTCCATGTAGTGTAGCCATACATAGCCACATGTAGCCAGACTGCCTTGTCTAGGGCTCTGTCTATGCACATAGCCAGACCCTCTGTCCATTGGGGGTCGGAACGCAGTGGGTGACCGAGGCTTGGCGCGGTGATGCCTCAGTATTCAAAAGATATCTGAAGCACGGACCTTCGGGTCAGTTGATTGAAATTTGAATAGACTGGACCTGCTTACTTTTGGTGGCCAATGCCTAGCATGGGCACACAACACCTGTGAATTTACTCACCATCGTCCGGGTAGGTTACTTGGAATCGGAGATACTATTACAATCCGCCAGATTCAAGACAGACGAAGGCGTGGTAGAAAGCAACACCGATCAATGCTGAACTTTCAGAAAGACGATACACTTTCTTGGTGCGAAAGATCTGCGGCCAGATCCAGTGCTTGTCTGATGGCCAAATCTTATATCACTTAGACCGCGTCGGGATGTTACCTCGGAGGATTTGGCCTTTTTCCTTTGGGGTGTCACTTATCCAAAGTGTGAAAGCAGTTTTGCTTTTGCTTTCTCCGGAGTTATGTACCTTATCAATAGATGGGGGCCTTCCTCACAATAGTGTTTCACCTGCGATTTATTTATCAACGTGGAGCAGCCATTCAAAGCTACTTTTTAAAATACCAATCATCTAGTAGAAAATTAGGCGGACACAGGGCGCCAGGGTCGGCTATCGTAAGAGGCCGACTGGGATCTTGCGCATTTTCTCGGATTTCTGGGTGCTCGGAACGAGATACCCGCTGAGCGCAGCAACGAGCGCCACTCGCGGCTCTACGTCATTGTTCGGGGCGGGGAGGACCTGTACGATCGACTGTGACTCGATGCTGTGGATCTCGACGGTACGGTTCGGCAGTAGCGCCGCGACATATGGGTAGTCGAACACGACGGCACGCGGGTGGGCGGGCCATTCGAGCGTGCCGCGTACGGGGTCACCGCCGCCGCTGACGAATACACCGAGTGTGCTGGCACCAGTCCAAGACAGGATGAGAAACTCGGTAGGGTTGTCGCCCGTGACGCAAATCCCAGGGGGACCCGTAAAGGGATCCTCCGCAGGGGCCTGCGAAAGCGGCATGAGGGGGGTTAGGGTCGCGTTGGCAAGGTCGAGGACGCTATATTGCAACTTGTCGGCCAGACAGAGAAATTGGCCACTACGGCGTGCGAGTAAGGCGCCGTTCTGAAGGGGGATTTCCTACGTCGAGGGTTAAATTGAAATGTTGAAATATACTGGAAAAGGTACCTTCTGATAGAACAGACGCTCGCGCAGCCCATACATGGCAATGGAGCTGCGCTTGATAACACACAGGTCGACGGGCTCTATACCGGCGGGATTTGAGAGTGAAGGGGCTGGCCGCTTGAGGTGGTTCTGGTCAACGGCGAAGGTAACAACATGGCGAATGGGTTTCATGACGTGTGGAGGCACGGCATCGAGCGCCGGGAGAGTATAAAAGTGAATCTGGTGGTCAGAGAGCACCAGCGCGCGAGATATGCTGGGCAGAAGGACGATTTCATCCACGGGTTTGTCATTTGGCACAGACTGACGAGATATTATGCTGTACGCCTCCAAAGTATTGGGATCATCAGCCTGCAGCGCGAAACGGATGAGTTCGCCGTTGGCGCAGCCGACATAGATCTCTGATCCTAAGGCTTGCGCACATCGGGCATTGCACTGAGCAATGAGCGTTTGTAGCTGGAAAGGTGGGACGTCAATGGGTTTGGTTGGCGCGGAGGTCATTACATTCCCTGACGCGAGGCAAAGTAAACAGGAAAGCAGACAAGCGCCCGAGAAAGCGCTTGCACAGCCTCCCTTGACTATGTACGTCGCACATATTCAAAC